ACCTATGGATAAGCTCAAGTGTGGGGCCATATGATGGAAGTCAGTCTGAAACCAACCGAAAGGAAGTTTTTGGTAAAGTGCATATATTTAACGTAAATACTAAAATGTTTTACTCTTAGGGATACCTCGAAATTTGAGAAATGGGTGACTTTTTGACTTAAATGACCTCTACTGCGACATTTCCTTGACTTTACTCAGTTATTGCTACAAAAAGCATGGAGAGCGACGATCGGTCTCTGAAGCAAAATGTTTCTGAACAATTAACTGGAGGACATCAACAAACTGCTGATCCAGTCTCTTGGAAAATAATCTCTAACCTCTCACCCTCATATATAAATCGTGTTCTGTCTCGAAAGTAATGTCGTGCCTATTTGGTTTTGTTTGTTCCGATCTTTCTTAATGGTATCAAAAACCATATACTGTGTCCTTTAGCGAATCAGAGTACAGATTCGGGTCACTCTAACCAATCAGGAGCCACCAACGAGATTCTCCGTCCTGAGTTTTCCCGCGCTTAGCGATGCGGCTGGATTGTTTTCCCGTTTGGTCTGGACGGTGGTTTGTTTAGCCTCACAACGAACCATGGATTCCTCTCTTCTTATTCACAGACAAATGTTAGTTTGTTTATTCCCTTATTCAACTACCCGCGAAAAAATAACATTATAATTTAGGAAGGAATGATCTAATCCGTGGGTGGTTTTGATCGAATAAGTTCTTATACTGCAACCTGTGCATAAAATTTTTGGTTGAAAAAAAACTAGCAGACCCATTCCCCTTCGCTTCTGGTTCTCAGGATGTCACGCAAAGCAATTAAAATCAAACCAAGATGATGGCAAGTCAGAGAGGATAAACTGTGAAAATATTTTTTTTGTCAAAGGTAGGGTGGGTCCGCATAAGGGGATATGGGTGACAATAAGAGACTGCTTTGATAACTGCACCACGCACTACCCTTGAAAGTCACGCACTTTATTTTCATTGTGGAACAGCTTACTCACTAATTACTGTCTTATAACACAACAATAAACTAAGGCTTATTAATTAATCGTAAACAGTTATCATGTCTCTAGCATTTACTCGTTATAAAACGAAAATACGCGTCGTCCTTCAAATGAATGTGTCTTGTCTACACAACATAAATGATTTACAGAAATCTGATTGTTTTTTTAAAGAAATCTCTTGCGTTAAATGAGGACTTAAAGATCGAAAAAGACATTGACGAGTCTCCAAACTATAAAAAGAATAAAAGTTCATTGGAATCTGAAGTTTCATGGTGATATGGAACAAAAAGGAAGACAATTATAACTACGAGCAACAATGAAATTGAACTTGTTGCGGCTATCTTAACTTTGCGCATGCTCCTTTACATTTATTGAAGAATCTTGTTATTAGTAAATCTGTGTGCTACTTAT